AACAGCTGCTGACGAGACAACAACAACAACAGCTGCTGACGAGACAACAACAACAACAGCTGCTGACGAGAAAACAACAACAACAGCTGCTGACGAGACAACAACAACAACAGCTGCTGACGAGACAACAACAACAACAGCTGCTGACGAGACAACAACAACAACATCTGCTGACGAGAAAACAACAACAACAGCTGCTGACGAGACAACAGAATAAACAATAATAAAAACAGCAACGTACAGAACGACAACAGCAATATCAACAACGGCAACAACGACATGCAAAAACAGCAACAACAGCTGCAATGTCAACAAAAGTAGAAATAGAAACAACGGCAACATTTACAACAAGAAAATCAACATCCAATAACAACAGCAAATAGAATAATAGAGAGAACGAAAGCGAAAACAAGAGCAATAAATACTAAATTCAAACACAAAGACTTTATTGATGAAGTGATGAAGTGAAAAAAAAAACGTGTTAACTCACCTTCTGTACAGTCTTTCCCGCTGTAACCAGGTAAGCAATGACATTTGTAGTCATTGAGTTTGTCAGAGCACGACGCGCCGTTTTTGCAAGGAGAAGGCGAACAATCATCGTGATCTTAAAAAAATGCAATCAACATTAACTTGATACACTGACAGATTTATCAAAAATCACGTCATAACAGATCCATTTTAATCGATAGCGTTGACTTTTCGGACGCATTTTGTTCCTGGCAAACTCATATCAAACAAAAGTAATCGCGGGCTGCCTGCTTTTTTACACTGACATGCAGTTATGTGGTTTGGACAGAACGTTCTACCATAGGCCGCCCAACTATTGCTTAAGAGGCATAAGAGTACGAATGCGCACGCTTTTAAAATGTATATGCTATCGGCGCAAATCCAAAGTAAATCAACAAAAGAATCAGGTAAAGTTAGCGCGCGATTGCGGTTTTCTTCTTGTGTTTTCGCTTTCTTTTCCGCATTGATCCATCAATACATATATGAATTAATATAACACAGTAAAGTACAGAAAATAAAAGCATTAAATGAAGCATGCAAGAGGTGGGCTGCCTATGGTTCTWCTTACCAGTTTGACAATTTTTTCCTTCCCAACCAGGTACACACTTGCAAAGATAATCATCAACCTTATCTTCACACGTCCCTCCATTCTTACATGGTTTTGATTYGCAATCATCGATATCTAGAAACAACATTTACATCAAACATTMATTGTTTCAAAACAGAAAAAAAGGATAGTCGAGAGTTTGCTGCAGAAAAACACAATCCTTAAAATCATTACAATTTGTTTTTCGCGTTTTCCTGAGCCATTATGAAATGGTGGATTTACACCACAGATATTTGCAATGAGCTTCTGTCAATTATAATTGTCTGCAGGTTTGAAAGAAGGATTTTATCATTGCAAACTCAACAGCAGTATTTTTAGATGGACTAAGGCTCGCGGAACTGTGAAGAAGCTTATTCTAARTWACTTACTTATCTCGCAATGTTTTCCTGTGAATCCTTGAGCGCATGTACACCGGTAAGCGTTTACTTCGTCAATGCAAGATATAGACGAGTAGTTTTGGCACGGATTAGGAGAACAGTCATCAATATCTGAAAAAATAAGTAGATATGATTGATTACTTTAAAAACCAGTTCAGTTGAATTCAAAAAGGGTAGGAAGAAAGTCCATTTCAATAAAGTTAAACTGAGAATGCAATAAAAATTTACAATTTAATTATTTTTTTTGGTAAAGAGCGAAAGAAACAATAGATTCAAAGTAGAATCATTTTTATCCGTCTGTGAAATAGGAATTGTAGTATTAAACACTATTACCCCCTATTAGCTCCCTATAGTTTTTGCTCATGACATGTGACAAACAAATTAGGAAAACACGGTTTTGATTTTGCCTTTTGGTAGCCTAGAGCAGAGTCACATGAACCATGAAATAAGAACTAAAAACTACTAACTAATAGGCACTATTAGTTCCTAATAGTCGTTAGCACTGAACCAGAACACTATATTTGATCCAATAAGCAATACCCAAGAGACCATTATAACAATCAAAGTAATCTCTTTGTACTGTTCTGGTTCAGTGATAGTATCTAAATAGTACCTATTAGTAAGTAAGTATTTAGTTTCTATTTCATGGTTCAAGTGACTCTGCTCTACTACACCCTGGTAGTTACTATTAAACACTGACTAGTAGTAATTGTTTCACAGACAGATAATGCAAACTATTGGTCTCCTTCCTGGTAAAATGAAAGTGACTGCAACAGTTTACAAACGCAGTCAAAAGTCAAATAAAGAGCTGTGTTATTGTCTACAGCACGACAGCTCAACAAGAAGAGTTTAGGAACATACTTGTAGAACAGATTGGGCCAGTCCTTCCAGGTATGCATGTGCAGGTAAAAGAATTAACTCCATCCTTGCATGTTCCTCCGTAAAGACAAGGGTTCGACTTGCAATCATCGATGTCTGAAAAGAGGGAAGAAAAATAAATCGAATCTCAATTTTTTTTTCATCCATTTATTTTCAAAATATTTTTTGGTTGAAAGAAGGTCTTTCTTGTCAAACAAAGATTACTTCTGGGATCCCATGCATCCATTCGTTTCTTCTCTGTTCACTAAATGATTTTTTTCTGTTTCCACTATTCTATCCCACTCGAGCGGTTAAAATCATTATCAGTGTTGAAACAAATAGTTTGCTCATAGATGATAATGAAATAGGYCAATTCACAGTTGCAACATAGTATTGTTTAACACATTTAAATGACAKCTGTCAATCATTACTTGTTTCACAGTTAGGGCCTTCGTATCCTGGTGCGCATTGACATTTGTACTTATTGACTTCATCAACGCATGTCGCTTGGTTCTTGCAAGGGCCTGGGGCACACTCGTTAATATCTGTCAATCATAATAATATCACAATTAATACATAAATATTCATAATATTAACTGCATAGAGTTCATGTCTCGCTTTGTTAACAAATGAAAAATCAGAGAAATCCAGTTTCTTACCGGTTTTACAGGTTTCTCCGGTGTATCCTGCTCTACACACACATCTGTAGCTATTGATTCCATCGATACAGGTCCCGTCATTTTGACACGGATTGGACACACACTCGTTGATATCTACAAAAAAAATCCATTAATTGCGAGATTTTGGTTGTCTAAGTACGCACAAAAGAATTGGAGATGAGGATCCTTGGAAACAATGAACAATATTTTTGTTTCCCAATATTCTAGTCTTCCGTTCTTTTGTGCGCGACGAATCAACCAGACTGACGAAAATAAGCTATTATGCATGAATGAAAAAATGTCTTCATTTTTCAGACAACATCTTTATTCATTTACTTATTTACTCATTTAATTTCCATTCATTCAATTTCCCATCCCACTATGCAATATTTCATTTATTATAGTACATTTAATCATGCATCGAATCATTTTTCCATTTTTCTCCCCATTCAATCTCCCATGCATTCATGCATCCATTCATTTTTCTCCCCATTCATGCATCCATTCATTTTTTCAATCACCCATGTACTTACTGGTTTCGCATCTATCCCCTGTGTATCCTGGTAGACATCTACATGTAAATCTATTCACTTCATCAACACATGTGCCGTCATTAAGACACGGACTGGAGTCACATTCATTGATGTCTGCCGAAATCAAATACAAAAGATCATAGTGCGATGAGAAAAAATCAGAAAGTGAAAAACAAAAACAACACCAAAACATCGCAAAAAACTATATCAATAGCACTATAAACGAGAACAACAACCAGAACAACACCATCAAATACAACATCAATATCATAACGGCAACAACAAACCTAACAACAACATCAACAACAACTAGAACCTTTATGGCAACAACAATRATAGCAACAACAACAAGAACACCAAAACATCGCMAAAAACTATATCAATAGCACTATAAACGAGAACAACAACCAGAACAACACCATCAAATACAACATCAATATCATAACGGCAACAACAAACCTAACAACAACATCAACAACAACTAGAACCTTTATGGCAACAACAATRATAGCARCAACAACAAGAACACCAAAACATCGCCAAAAACTATATCAATAGCACTATAAACGAGAAAACGACCAGAACACCATCAAATACAACAATAACATTAATATCATAACGGCAACAACAACCATAACAACATCAACAACAACTAGAACAACCTTAACGACAACAACAATAATAACAACAACATCAACGAGAACCATACCAACATCAACAACAACGAGAACAACTTTAACGGTAACAACAACCACAGCAACATCACGTATCAAGAGCCAACAGTAGCAACCACAATAACAACTCTTAGAAGAAATCATATCATGAAAAAATCAACCATAACAGCAACAGAGAAAATAATCATAACAGAGCCATCTGCAACAACATATACGACTTACCAATTTCACAGTTTACTCCCTTATATCCACCAGCGCAATCACAAGTGTAAGAATTTATCCCATCACGACAACTTCCCCCGTTTTGACACGGTTTTGACTCACATTCGTCGATATCTAGACGAGAGGTTAAAATTTTAAATATTTGGCTGGTAAATAAAGAGCAGCGTTTTTAAGGCAATCCATTGATATGAAACTAATTTTAAAATTCTATTTAAGTATWTTCGTGGTAATGGTTAAGGAGCGTTTATTAATAATTAAATCATATATTACACATTAATGCTGTAACTGGAAATTGGAATTGCACACTGACTTACTTTTCTCACATATACGTCCCGTATATCCAGCAGAACATTGGCATTTGTAACTATTGACTTCATCGATACATTTTCCACCATTTTTGCAAGGATCTGGTGAGCAATCGTCGATGTCTAGCAAAACACAAAATACAAAAAATTAAAACCAATCAATCAGGCTTACGAAAAGACTTTTCGTCATTGTTTTTAGATTTTAGCAGCTTTTTTTTGTCTCCAGGATGTAAACAATAAATTCAAAATACAAACGAATACGAACCAAGAATCCATAACTTACTTTCAGTACAGTTTTTGCCTCTCCAGCCAGCTTGACAATTGCATTTGTAGTCATTGACTAGATCACTACAGTGTCCATGGACACAGGGATTGATGTTGCAGTCGTTGATATCTGTGGGAAGAGACATATATAAATGTATGATTTATCAGGATTATCTGGCTAGAAAACTAAACTTATTGCAGTCCACTGGCAGTTTGTTCTTACTATTCTTTAAATTTGTTAAGTTTTCATTCTACTTACTGACTTCGCACTGGTAACCAGTCCAACCAGCCGCACAATTGCATGTATATTTATTAATCCCATCAACACATTGTCCCCCATTCTGGCATGGTTCTGGAGCACATTCATTAATATCTGAAAAAAGGTGATTACATTAGGATGCAAAATGACATAAAATARAGCTGGTCGATGATTTAGCAGCCCTGGAAATCGTCGGACTCGCAATACAAGTTTGACAAGCAAAAGAGGTAACCTTTGGGATAACAACCGGTGGTTGTGAGCCTTGCTTATCGCCCTGTCCTCACTGTGACATCTGTCTGACCTGAGTACGGGTACTGGCATGTGTGAAACATTGATAGTCACTTCATACGCTTTTAAGGGTAAAATGCTAGTTTATTTCAAAATATGCGGAATAGGTGGTCGTGAGGCTGACGTACAATCCTGTTGTCACTATGTCATTTCTCTGATCAAGAGTGCGGGTTCTGGCAGATGGCATATATTAAGAGACGCGACAAGCAATCCTCGGTTTGGRTAAAARTWGTAAAACTCGSTACAAATGAATTAAGTATATGCATGGTTATATCAAAGTTTSCATTTGAAGTGATTTTTTTCAGTACACATACTTGTCCCACAGACGAAGCCAGTGAAACCCTTCTTGCATATGCACGTATGGTTGTTGATTCCGTCAAAGCATCGCCCATCATTTAAGCAGGGATTAGGTGTACAGTCGTCGATGTCTTAACAAAAGAGTCGGAAGTTTAGTAGAGAATAATAACACTAAAAAACATGAATTTCCATAATTTCCGTAGCATAATTTCCGCATGGGGCTTCGTTCTCTATTTTGAAAGCAAGACATGAGTTGAGCCTGCAGTGATAGAACCGTTTATTTATACTTGACGCATTTCTCCACAGCTACCTATCATTGGAAGCTCAGACACTGTATCGCTTTACTGGAAAGGGTCATCTACTTTTCAAGATGGCTCTGGCGGTTGAGGAGTAATTTTTGHGTGAGAACACTGAACCAATGAAAATGTATATAAAACGATACTTACTGGTGTCGCAGTTCTTGCCAGTCCATCCAGGATAACAGTAACATTTATAATCATTAAACAGATCTTGACACCTCACGGCATTAACGCACCTTTTGAACTCACATTCGTTACGTTCTGACAGGAAGTAAATCAATATATAATAATATTAATGTACTTAGTGCGCATTTATCATGGCTCAATGCGCTTACATATGTATAAAAAATATAGGTACTAATCCGTAATTAAATCAATTGTGCTAAGATTCATGAGTATTAGTGAAATATATAAATAAATAAGTCATGCTAATTGTCATGGTGAACATAAGATTTTTTAAATAAAAATGTCTTAATGTTCGATTTGAAGGATGCCACTGAAGGTGAAGCTTTTATAAATTCTGGCAAATCATTCCATATATCAATTCTTTCATTCAACAAAATATATAAAGTTGGAAGGTTGGAAGGCTGCGCAACGTYCAGTTTTAATAGTAGCGAGCTACCTCAAATGATGAAGGAAATGATGCTAAGGAGGAAACCAAGTGAAAACAATGCTGAAAATCACGAGACAATCAATTTTGTTATAATTGATCTCTTGTCCGGGTACTGGAATATATATATATATTTGCGCTTCTAAGCTTTTTTTTTAAGCTTTTTTTTTACTTTGCTGTTGTATTTACGTCTTTACAACTGATCCGAACAACTTTTCTTCCTAATTACAAGAACGCGAAGATCGTTCTGTGATCGACATATGCTGTGTGGAGGTAGATCTTGCTTACCATCTTCACAGTGTTTTCCTACGTAGCCGTCGGCACATTTGCATTCGTAGCCGTTCTTGCCATCAACACATGTAGCACCATTTTTGCAAGGATCRGACTTGCACTCRTCCACATCTAGAAAATGAAAATGGTCAGTGAAACGAATGTCTTAGGCATACAGTGTGGGCATAAGTGACGTTTAGAAGAATAAGATGTCTGTATGTCAACATACCTGTTATATAACGAGATTGTTCCGATTTCGCCATTTTTGTTTTCAAAAAGACGCTTTCTTCAACCATGGGCTATCATGAATAGCCCATGGTTGAGCAGCCAATGAGAACGCGCGACTTTAATACTAACAAATGTTATACTTACTTTTATCACAAAGTTTTCCAAACCATCCATCCGTGCATTTACACATAAAACCGGCAACTTCATCCTTACACGTCCCGCCATTCGAACAAACCACGGMCTCCGTGATACACTCATTGATGTCTAAAAACAATTAGGCGTCAATTTTGAGGTCATCAGTTGTTTTTTGTCACAACATTCTAGGACTTTTTGAGTACTATTTACGCGTTTTTACGAGTTTTGGCGTTTTTAAYCGGTTCCGGAGGTGATTTTTGAGAATGTCCTTATTTCAATGAAACAGATTCAAGGAGTTTCCCAGAAGGGGCTTTTCAAGTGACTTTTTAAAGACGTTTCCAATTTCCAATAGTGAAAGCTTTGGTTATACTTTGTGAAGTTCGTAATGTTTCCTGGTTCAAGGAACCGTTCATAGTCACAATTTACCACTTTAAGAATAGATAACACTTTGATTTCAAAGAGTACTTCTTGGAGATTATATATTGCTACATTGATTTTCAACAGTTTATCAGACCTATGTTTATGTACCTGTTTTACAGTTGTTACCAGWRTATCCTGCTGCGCATTTGCAGGTGTATTCATTGATGCCATCATTGCATGTTGCACCATTTAAACAAGGATTGGATAAACACTCGTTGATATCTAAAAATGGATGAGAGGGTGAAAATAGTATAATATACGTCACAGTGGCCATCTTAGATGAATTTCAACAAAGGATTTCGCGTTAGTATCTATTGTTCATTCATCCAACATGGCCACCAGTCTTCTTTTGAGTCTGATCTCGATCAATTCATTTCTCTGTCAATTCATTCATCTATCCGCTTAATCCATCCATCCATTCATTCATATATTTGCTTGGTCTTACTTGTTTCGCAATTCGTTCCGCTGAATCCTGCTGCACAGCCGCAAGTGTATCCGTTCTCCCCATCTGAGCATGTGCCACCGTTATTGCAAGGCCCTGACTCACATTCATTGATGTCTAGAGAAAATAAAGAAAATCACGTGACATTCAATATCCTTAGAATTGACTAAAAAATAACTAAGTCAGTAATGCAGTACCAATTGAAACCTGCTTTTTGATTGCTCCTTAAGTACAGCACCACTATTGTTAGGTTAGGTTTTGTTATATTATTGGAAGACTTATCTATTGTTTGTCCATTGTTTTCTCAAGCTATCATGAGACCCGTTCCGAGCGGTGCTACCTGGCTCAACTAAGTACGTATAATTGTCATATACTGATGACAATGTGCCGAGGATTATATTGAAGAACAAACGACCAATCATTAAATACAGTAGAGTCATGGTACATGCCCTACAACTAAGCTAGAACGCAAAGTACGTGTACCAAAGAAAACAAAATGAGAAACAGCATTCCCATAACCCGCATCATATGGAACTGTTTTCAAAAAGAAGGACATGTACTAAAAGAATTTTCTCAGATTTATTTTGATAAAGGAAAAAGAATCTCTCTGTGTCATGGTTAATCCGCCAATAATGTCTATGGCCTTTATATCTAACGGTTTTGAGAGTACTACCACATTGGGGACTAGACAATAATAGTGATATTTTCGAGTACAACATACTTGTTTCACAGTTCTTTCCAGTATATCCATCCTTGCAGGAACAAGTGTAGCCGTTCTCACGATCAGAACATGATCCTTCATGTTGACAGGGATTTGATTCGCATTCATTGATATCTGTTCAATTATAGTAAGAATTATTGGTTAAGGCTGTGTATGATATGAAGAATTGTTGGTTCAGGCTGTGTATGATATGAAGAATTATTGGTTAA